CCCACTGTCAGAATAGTTGCCCGTTTTTCATACCCACATCTTGCTGACATGAGACTGATTTTCCAGACTGCAGATTACAAGAACTTTCTGTTGCTTAAGTACCACCTCTTTGCACTACTCGGTTCTATCAGGTTTTGAATTGGCAGGTCAGGACACTATCATACTTTTGGTGGTATTTTATTTAGAGTCGAAAACACGTTAGAATCAGAAGTAGGCGCTCATTGCTATCTTCCGTTGTTGCTTTAAATTCCTTCTTACTACTGACACTCAGAATCTGTTTTATCTATGCCACCTTGAGACGAATGCTGAGTTTCAGGCATTGTCGTGGGATAGCCTTCACTTTACCATCATCGGCTTCTTTATTCATCTCTTGATTTAGTTAAATGAATCTGAGCTCTGTCCTTGTTCAAGTGGTTTCATATCTGTGAGTGATGCCGCCTACAGGGACAATGTCTTAGCAATCGCCTATGGAACTCGCGTTCTTCTTGCTAACGTTCAGAATCACGCCACTTCACTTCTCATCTGCATTTCCGATGCTGCCATCTTGAAGGCCATTTCCGGTGAGCCCTCGATCAAAGTTAGTCACCTAGCATTGCATGATACCCCTTCAATTGGCACAAAGATCAAGCGCATGGGTTTTATGCCTCTAAGTTTCCCATCCTAATGGTGTCTTTTAACATTACTTTAAAAATATATTTCTTGAGTAGTAACTGAAGTTAGTCCTCCTTGTTTTGGCGGTCCTCTGGCTTGGCAATTTGTCCTCTTTTATTACATTGCCAATTCTTCTCATCGCACTCATTTGCATTGACCTTCTAGGCGTTCGCTTTTTCAACAATTATGTATATTTCTCGTCCCAAGATGGTATCATAGGGAAAGCTGCCATACCCACCCAGTTAAACAGTAAGTTACACAAAATGCGTCTAAACTACAATAGCCCCCTTTGTCCCCTCATCTGATCACAAGCGAAATGCACGCCTTTTAGAAAGTTACGACCTCACTATCCTCAATAAGGCGTCCACATTGGGAGGTAAAAATTTTCACCGGTTTTTTGGAGGCCTACACATTACTCACAACGGAGTCTATGCCGTTTATGTGGAGTCGTAAGTTTCGTGTCTACTTGTTTTGAATTTAATAAGCCAAGGGTAAAACGGGCGTGATGTAGCTGAAAATTCCCCTCTGTTTCCTTAGCACTGTGGCCCCAGCATTCTGCAACATCACTTCAAACGTGAGTCTCGGTGTCCCTGCCTGTTAGTGAATGCGTATACACTTATCCGCTCATCACTGTGTTTGCCTCCTCATTTAGCTGGTTTTTATGGTGCTGTTGTCGAATCTGGAAGTCGTCGACTTGATTGATAGGCTGTCTGGACCGATGAGAAGGAATGTGGATTGTCTTTACCAGGTGACACGACTACTGCTCTCCACTGAGTACTACAAGTCCTCCTCTATGGAATGCCCCAGTGTTGACATGGACTCGGAGGTGTGGTCACAAAAGTTACTGACATTTTCTGAGAGTGCTCTTTTTGACACCAAGGCAGATCTCTCAAAGCTGGAACTGCACAAAATTCAATTTCAAAGGTAGTGTCGACTCTACGGTTTTTCACCATCTATTCGAAGTAAACTGTATTAGTTCTCACGCTGAATATCCTTGTTTACTCCTAATAGAGCTGTCACAATGCTGCTCATAGAAGAATCTAGCAGGTCACCAGACACGAAAGTAAGTTTTTTTGTCGCCGTCAAGGATTTTGAGTTTTAAAAATTATGTATACAAACGTGTGTTATAATTTCAGCAAATGCTGCAGAACCAGCTTGATCGTTTGAATAAGATTTTGGCTCTTCGACAAATTGATCAGTGCTATCGGCTCTTCCTTAAGACTGAGGTGCAAAGGCAATATCAAGGTGCTCCACCATCCTAATTTATGTTTTTTGCTACGTTCAGGATTCATTGCCCTTTTTTTGCACCTTTCTTACGTTCTTGTCTTCAGATTGCATTCTGATCTTGCGAATTGCCGTTCTCTGTCAGCAATACCTGAGAAGTGATGCCGCTAAGGATTGTGGTGTGGTGGCGCTATGTTCGATGCTGCATCGTGCCACTGAGGCGGTTATGAGCGTTGCCCAGAAGCTCCTCGTTAAGCGCTTTGAAGTAACGCTGAGCGATGTCAACACCACCGTCCTGCTCGTTTGTCCTGTCTGTCAAACTGATATCCTTTTCACTTGTTCCACACAATTTCTTACAAGTGCTTGACACTCAAGGTGTGTCCAATGTGTGAACGCTGGTAAAAGGATCGTTTGTTTTTTTAAGTTGTGCCTTTCATTAGGTATGAAGCATTTGAGTGTAGACTGGAGTTATGCTAAAGCGTGTTGTTCGTTCGACCCCCTACACTATTTTGGTTATTCCCCTAACTCATTTCATTTGTACGCATGGATGTAGATATTCTTACTGCCGCTTGTTCAAAAGGTCATCGCTTTGGTGAGTTAGAGGCGCATTTCTTTTGAGGGTCTCCTATTATACTATCAACTTAAACTGTTTGATTTTGTTGCAGAGCGGTGCGCCTCGACCTTCATACCTTGTGTGGAACCCTGCTTCAATGAATGCCCCTCTTGTCGACGTTGCAGTGTTCTTCTTCCAGGTTTGTGCACATTCTTCTTGGAGTTGACTCATGGCAATTCCTTCCACTCGGCATTGTTGGTCTTATAGCATCTACTTGGTTCGCGTTTGTGTTTGAGGGACATCGGATCTCTGTTGTGCTTATTAGCGTTCAGATGGTGGCTGGTCTTAGTTTTATACTAATCACTTTGGTACAAGTCAGGCGGATAATCTTCTCAAACCAGCATTTGACACTTATTTTAGATCGTCCATCTCAGTGGCGCAGGGAGATAAACGGCCGATTTTGTCCATATTGTAACGTTCGTTATAATTTGGTAGTTCTCTGATCCATACTATTCCCTTATTATTCCATAACTGCAGGACAGTGTACAGGTAAATGGCTTGTAAATATGCTGTTTCATATCGGAATTTTGACCTGTCTCTCTCGATCTTGGTTGTTGTATCAGAGCCCTTCGGCATGAGGGTCATAGAAGTGTCTTAGTGCTTGGCTTTGTGTGATTGTGGCATTCCATACCGAGTCGCTAAAATGCTGCATAGGCGAGCGTATTTATAAGTAGTAGAAGTAGTAACCACATCCGACAGAGGCTCCTATTCTGCTCCATTGTCTCTAGTGTTAGTTCCTTCGTTTCATGTCATGAATTGGAACTGAAAATGTGGCATCAGATCAAAAAGGAGGCTCACATGCATAGTGGTCGGCAGAACTGCTATCAGCAACTGGAGGGACAGTAGTCATGGGCGGCGTAGGTTAGACGGGAGCGTTATATCTTTATTGGAGTATTGTTCTAATGAAGTCCATTCAACGCTGCCTATGCGGCGCTGTAGTGTGGGAGCCTAATGCATAAGAATGAATGCGAAATCAGGAATAATGAAACTGTGCTAAATTTATTTCTTTACAAAACTACTCTAATCAAAGTTTCTACGTCTAGTGGTATGAGATATATGTGGTCGAGGCACTGCGTCCTTCCACCACGCAGCTGAAAGCAGGCTCAGTGTATCAAGCAATAAAACTAACGAAAGAGGCCGATGTCAGGTATATGCACACACAATATATATCCTTCAGCAACAACCACCTCTGGACAACTAAATTACGTTATCAAACTAAATCAACAATTGAGTTAGATTTTTTTGCTAGCTAAAACTCTTTGACACCTTAAAAGTTTAGCCGAACTTCGTTCAATAAAGAATAAACTTCAATAATCCATTCAATGACCAAATATTAAGTCAATAGCAGCAGAACTCTAGTTGCTTTAGAAACTGCCTTAGCATTCATGTTCTTCTGAATTCTTAAA